TTAACTTGCACAGTAAACAATCACAAAACAGACAAACTATTTAAAACAATGAAAAAGTAAAAAAAAAAAAAAAAAAAAAAAAAAGGACTGTGATCCCTAACAAAAGAGAAATAAGTGAACCCTATGACTACCCCATTTACTGCCTGGAGGAGCATTCCAGACCTTGATGCAGAGAAAAGGGTCAAAAGCAGAGCACAGCAGTTATCTTGAGTTGAGGATGAGTTGAGAGGAACGGATGAAAATTCAGGAAGTCTGGGGCAGCTGGAAGATCTTGTATGGCTCACACGGACTCTTTGCTGAATACTACACTACACGTTCACAGTGTAAAATTCAACAAAGTTAGATAGAACCTTTTGGTCTTTATCAACTATCAATGTCCAATGTCTAGTATCCAATCAAAATTACTAGGCATGGCAAGAAGCAGAAAAATGTAACACATAATCGGGAAATCGAGTCAACAGACACAGAAAATGAAGGGATTATATAATTAGAAGAATTAATTTAAATATTATATATGTCAACTATGCTCGATAATTTAAAGAAAAACATGAACACAACAAGAAGAGTAATAAAAGATACTAAAAAAAAATAGAACTTGTGGAACTGAAAAAAGTATCTAAAATTTAAAATGTCACTAAATGAGATTGACAGTATATTAGACATATAAAAAAGAAGTTATGAAATTGAAGATACAGCAGATAGAGCAAGAGGAATATTCCAAACTGGGGCAAAGAGTAAAAGACCAGAAAAATGATTAGTACCTCGCTGACCTGTCACACCATATCAAGTGAGAATGTTTGAAAACCATTGAAAAGAGAAAGAAAAATAGCAGGGGGAGAGGGTCATTAAATACTGAGAAACAAGCATAAAAAAACTGCAAACCTCATTAGAAACTATCTAAGCCATAATGACACCTTTAAAGAATCAAAGAAAAACCTGTCAAACTGAAGTTTTATACAGAGCAAAAGTATCCTTCAAAACTGGGGGGCAAAAATGCAGATTTTTCAGGAGTGCCAAAATATATGTCTCAACAGCAGACTTGTAGGAGGAAGTTCTTTAGGTGGAAGAAAAATTATTTCTGATAGATTCTTATATCTACACAGAACAATGAAAAAGTCTGGAAATGATACACACACATAAAGGTAAATATAAAGTTACTGTATTCTAATATTTTATTTAAAAATTAATGGACTATTTTAAGCAAAATGTATTGCTTCTTTAAACTTTATTTTTATTGTTGACATTACAGATGTCCTCATTTTCCTCTCTTTGCCCACCTCCACCCAGCCCTTACCATCCCTCCCTGGCTATCACCACGTTGTTGTCTGTGTCTATGAGTTATTCATACACATTCTTTGGCTAATCCCTTCATCTTTTATCCAGTCCCTCCCTTCACCCGTCCGCTCTGACAGCTGTCAGTCTGTTCCATGTGTCCATGCCTCTGTTTCTATATTGTTCATCAGTTTATTTTATTCATTAGATTCTACATATATGTTACAAAGGGTAGGAGAATACAGTCACGGAAAGTTTCTTATATTTTATGTGAAGAGATATATTGTTTGAAGGTAGACTTGGATATGTTAAAGACATATTGTAAATTCTAGAGAAACCACCCACACACAAAGAAGTGTAGCTCATGGGGATAAAATGGAATGCTTAAAATCCATTCACATGAAGATAGAAAAAGAAATGAATGGATTTGATATAAAGAAAACAAATAGCAAGATAATAGATTACATCCCAAATTAACCAACAGCGACATTCTATCTAAATGGTCTAAACACTCCAATTAAAAAGCAGCATCAAGAACTGTGAAGGATTAGAGATTGTTTTCTACCTATAAGAAACAAGTTAGACTGTCACAGTTTCACAGATGCTGGCAGAAAACAGAGACTTACTGGGGACACATAATTTGATTAGGTCTAGCACAGCAGGCAGCACCGTGTGTGCTTGCTTTGGTTTTCCGGGACTCGCCAAGCCCCACGTGGGTGATGCAGAGGTGTGCCCAGGCGGACACTGTGTACACTGTTAGTTTGTGTTACAACTAAGGAAGCCCCAATCTTACATAAAGGGCTGCTAAGTAAATCAGCCCAACCTTGCTCTGGAGAGAGGTATCTCCACTATACTGGACAGTAAAGAAATCTACTCTAGAGTCTCTGTCTTCGGAGTTTACTTACTATACAACAGCCTTGAAAAGATAGTCTAGAGCAAAAATTATTAAAACGTTTGCTCAGAAAACATACAGAAACATGTAAGAGCAATGGAGAGATTTCCCCCAACCAGGCAGAGATTATTGAACTGGATTTTTAAAAAAGCAAGACCAACTACTAAATGTCTACTAGAAACAAATTTTGTATATAAACACTGATACATTTTTATTTTCTTTTTATTGTTGCAAGTATTACAGATATTTTCCCCATTACCCCTCCTCCTTCCTGTTCCCACCCCCTCCTGCTTTCCTCAAACTAATGTCTGTATCCATTGGTTGTACATATGTGCATATAAGTTCTTTAGTTTATCCCCCCCCCACTTTCCATTCCTCTGAGGTTTGTCAGTCTTTTCCCTACTTCCATAAAACACAAATCTTAAATCTACAATAGCTATATTACTAACACAGACCAGTCTTCAGAATAAATCACATTATTGGGTATACATATGAAAATAATGAAAGTTTCAATCCATCACAAAGACATAATCATAAACATATGCACCCAAATACAAAGCATCAAGATATTAAGCAAAAACTAGAATTCAAAGAACGAATAGACAAATCCACAATTATAACTGAAATACAACGTTCCTCTCTTGAAAATTGACACAAGAAATAGAAAGTCATTAAAGATATAGGAGATAACACTACCATTCAACAATTTTACTGATATTTATAAAAATATTCCACCAACATCAACAGAATACCTATTCTTTCAAGTGTACACTGGAACACAGATGGAAAACTGACCATCTGCTGGGTCATAAGGTAAATCCCAGTGAATTTCATAGGACTGAAGTGTTACAGAATATGTCCTTTGACCACAAAATATAATTTAAAAAATTAGAATGAAAACTATCCAATAACAGCAACATAATATTTGAACCGACATTCTAAAATAATATACAAATAACCAAGTAGTACATGAAAAAATGGGAAATGCAAATCAATACTATTATATGTCCATTTGAATTGGTAAAATTAAAAGCACTGATCATACCAACTGTTGGCAAGTATGGAAAATAACTGGTACTTTTTTACATTGCTTACATGAATGGAATGGTTTAAGTACTTTACCTTAAAAAAAATTCCTAACAGTTTTTCATACATGTGAAATATGACCCACTTATTCCAATCTTGAGAATCACTAAAGAGAAATATACATGTTCACCCAAAGAACTTTACACAAGTATTTATGAAGTTTTGTTCTTAATAGCCTCAAAATGCAAACAGTCCATATGCCAATGGTTAGGTAAATTCATTTTAAAAATGTGGTACATCTATAAAAATGGAATATTATTGAAAACACACACACAATAACAATTTTAAAATTTTATGTTGAAGTACACATGATCCCGTTTATCTGAAACTATAAAATATAGTTAATCTATAGCCACAAAAACAAATCAGTGTTTTCTTAGGGCACAAATAAATAGGAAGATATGTCATGTTTATCAATCAGAAGAATTAATATTGTTAAAATGTCCATTCTGTCAAAAGCAATCTGCAGATCCAATGCAATTCCTATTAAAATTCCAATGGCATTTTTTCACAGAAATAGAACAAACAATCCTAAAATTCCTATGGAACCAAAAAATATCCCAAACAGCAAAAGCAATCTTGAGAATGAAGAACAAAGCAGGAGGCATCACACTTCCTGACTTCAAACTGGATTTATGCCAGTACTATACTTTTTGAAAGTTATAGTATCAAAAAGTATAGTACTAGTATAAAAATAAGACACACAGACCAATGAAACAGAATCAAGAGCCCAGAAATAAACCCTCATTTAGAGCCCATTACTATTTGACAAGGGTGCTGAAAACATGCAGTGGGGAAAGGACAGTCTCTTCCATAAATGGTGCTGGGAAAACTGGGTAACAATATGCAGAAGAATGAAATTAGACTCCAGTCTTAAACAGCTCATAAAAATTAACCTAGAATGGACTAAAGACTTAAACGTAAGACCTGAAACCGTATCACAGTGGTTTCTGAGGAGTTAACTGTTGCTTCACATCCTACCTTTTGGCAATATCTTAAGATATTACAACAAGCAAAACAAACAAAAAACTATACGATTGCAAGAAAAAAATCAAAAGCAGTTGTGTGAAGAGATCAGTAACTTCAGCATTACCCACGGAGCTTACTAGAAATAAATCTCAGGTTTCACCCTAAACTTATTAAATTATGAACTACACTTAACTAGATGCCCAGATGATTTTTATGCCTATTGAAATTTGAGAAACAAAACATTTCTGAATAGATCAACCTCCATCATTACCCTTGTAGGGATAAGAGAATCCAAAACACCAGAAACCAATGGGCAACTCAACGAATGCCACATTCATGAGACTGGCTTCTAAAACATAGCGATGGCTTTCCTACTCTGCTCTCAATTGGAATAACACCGAGTCATTTAGAAGGTAGAAAATGGTACTGACATCAATTTGCAACTTAGTTGAATTAGACTTCAAATTCTCGGAGGTCACAGTCCCATCGCACAAAAGAAGTAGCACAAACTATCCAGTGTCGTGTCGCCCATTTACAATTGGCCAGGCAAAGGGAGGCCCGAATCCAGTGGCTCCATCCCACCCTGCGCGCTGCCGCGGGCGGCGTTTCCACGCTCCCAGGCCCGGTCCGCTCGCCAGCACCGGCCGGGCGGGGCCCCTGGAGGTGGGGGTGGGGGTGGGGAGTCGCCTCAGGGGGGCGGAAGCGAGAGGCAGGGCTGGGGCGGAGTCGCGAGCGGAGGGAGCGTTGCAGCAGGGGGCGGAGCCGAGCCGCGAAGCCACCGGCCCGGGTGGGGACCCGGCGAGCGCGGCCGCTCCGGGACGCACGTATCACCACGCAGATCGCACTTACCGGGGCGGGGGGAAGCTGCCGCCGCTCTCCCGATGGGGCTGTGCTTTCCCTGTCCCGGGGAGTCCGCACCTCCCTCGCCGAACCTGGTGAGTAAGGCCGCGTCTGCCGGCCCGCGCCGCGCGCACCTGTTCCCGGGGCAGACGCTGCGGGAGGCCCGGAGCTCGGGCACCTGGCCGGCCGGTTGGGCGCGGCGGAGCGCGCCGCAAGCCCGCGGGTGGGCACCCTGTTGACGTCGGCGTGTGGTCGCGTCTGTGGCGGTCTCCCCACTTTCGTTACATAAAATTGCCCAAAGGCGGCTCCGGGGTCTCTCCCTTTCGCCGACTTTGGCAAAATTGGAAGTTGGTGGGACGTAGGCGTGCGCCGACGGTGCGGTGTAGGGGCCATTCTTGGAGACGCGGTAGCCTGGGTGCAAGAAGAAATTCCTCTTTTTCTGAACTGGTGTTGAATATCCTAGTAGGAGATGTGCATTTTCCAGTGTCTGTATGAGCTGTTTAAAGTAGGTGAACAAAATGTCCCTTACACTCCTGAGCTTTATTGGGTATTGTATTTGTAATTTCCCTTTAGTATTTATTTTTTTAAGTTCTTCCTTTAAAAAAAAAAAAGATTATTTTATGTAGTACAGAGTGTATAGGTTGTAACAGTGCCATATTTAGCAAGTAAGAATACAGGACGCCCAGTTAAATTTGAATTTTCAGATAAACAAGGAATACATTTTAAAAGTAGATTTGTCGGTTACAATAATGGAACAAACTTACACTAGAGGTTATTTATTGTTTGTCTGAAATTCAAATTTTTATTTAAGGAAATGCATTAACTCTTCAGTCATTTGAATATAGGTACTGAAAATGACCTGGACATTGGTATCAGGAAGTTCACCTTGTCTTTCTTGCTACTGTTGCTTTTAAATGTTAATTTTGTCTGTCTGGCTGTTGATAAAATTCTAATCTGTCAGTATTTGTTAAACCCTCCACCCATCCCCATAGACTACCACGTGGCTCACTGCTTGAATGTTACTTTATTGTTGAGGTTTTTCTTGATCACACTAAATAAAATAGATCCTCGACTATACCACTCACCCATCCTTGTATTTCTTATCCTTTATATTTCCCAGGCCCTTACTATTATCTGACAGATACTATTTACTTGATTATATTTGACAGTGAGCCCTCATTGGAATTTTAAGTTTCATTTGGGTGGAAACATGTATTTTATTTTTTTTCACTGCTGTATCCTCAGCAGTGAGACAGGTTCCTTAGACATGATAGGTACTCAGTTAATACTATGTACAATGAATGAATGAATATATGTACTGTGTTATGGAAAACGAGAATTATTGGCATAGCTCTCAAGAGAAGGCTACTTACTGTCTTAATTATTTAAAGATTTTTATAATTACTACATGATATAGAAAATTATCACTTTCCCAACAGTACCTTTCATAAATTCCCTACAGTTTTCCCTATTGTACACAATGAGATTCACCCTCTTCATTCATGAACCTGTCCTAAAAACAAACCTACTTCAGACTCCTAACTGGCAGTACTAAAGTTTGTATTATTAAATTAAATGTCATTTGTTTTATAGCCCTGACTTGATTGTAAGTCTATTTTTTTAAAAAACAAAAGCAAATAATTATTTTATAGACCAACCCGTGTTCCATATATGTGTATATATGATATACAATATGTATCACATATATGTCTTAGCATGTTCTTATTTGAAGATATGTTGATTAATTGTGAGAATGAAATTCAGAAAGTTGATTATTTTATAAATGTAAGTACTGGCAGTTATAGTGGAACATTTTGGGCCAGTACTAAATATTTTTATAAATTGTTATGTTACTTATAAGATATGAATAGGTGTGCAGATTATCCATGACAGTGTTTGATTTTATTTTAAAACCTATTTTTTACATATTTTCCTTAGGAAGAGAAAAGAGCAAAGCTTGCAGAGGCTGCGGAAAGAAGACAGAAGGAGGTGGGAGTAAAAATGAAATTTTTCCTATTTAGAGAAGTTTGTACTTTGTTCTTGATAAATGTCTATGGCTAGTAGTATTTTTTAAATGAAAATGTTATATGATATCCACTAAATTTATTTTTAAAGGTAAATATTTTTCAAAATAATCTGTGTTTCTATAAATTACATGAATGCATTTGTATCATTTAATGTATGAAAATTACTATACAGATGTCTTCTGTAATGTGAGATGCCCCTTTAATAACAGCATTCCCTGAGATAAAATGGCCATGCCTTATAAAACACTGACAGATATCAAATAAGTTTGGGGAAAAATTTGTATGGTTTCAAAATACCAATGAAAAAATGATAAATATGTTTTATATAAAGCTGGTATAGAAATAGTCTAATTCTTTGTTACCAAAGTAGACCAGTATCCCACCTCCAAAGCCCAAAACAACAACAAAACACATGCTTAGATACTGAATTTTATTGTTGTTTTGTACCCCTTACGTTTCTTAAAGGCTGCATCTCGGGGCATTTTGGATGTTCAGTCTGTGGAAGAGAAGAGAAAGAGAAAGGAAAAAATAGAAAAACAAATGGCTACATCTGGGCCCCCACCAGAAGGTGGACTTAGAGTAAGTATTAAAATGTATTTAAGGTTTAAATTTACCTGGAATTTTTAGAAACTTGAGTAGCAATCCATTCAATAATTTCCTGTTGAGATGGATTGTCATAAAATTTTGAATTAATTTATGAGCATGAATAATATAGATTGGAATAATTGTCAATTCATTTGGGCATTCTGACATTTATTTGGAATGGGTTCACTTTCTTTTTTTCAAAATTAAAATAAATTCTTTTTCCTGACTAAATACTTTATATAATTGATTCTAATCTTAAATGGGTAGAAAACTGAAACAATATGGAAGAATATAAAGAGGTCAAAAGCACCCAAATTCAATGTCATATTAAAACATCGTTTCTCATTTCCACTTACACATCAACCCTACTAAATTGGTTTACACTATAAATCTGTTTTTATAGCCTACAGTCGTTTTACTCAATGATTTGACATTTTTGCTCTTTTCATTGTCACGCACACCATAGCTGTGGATTTGGCCAGTAGAGAGTACAGGAGTGAGTGACATGTGCACCTCCCAGTGTAGCAATTGCAGCTCCTGACGCTGGAAATACAATGGTGGGCAAGTTAACAAGGCCCTTGGACTTGGGGGTCTTGCCAGTCTAGTACGAGTATACAGGTTTTATTTTACATGTTAACACTGAAAAATAATGGTTCAGATACTAAGATTTTATTCTTGGGTCCATTTTTAAAGGAAATGCATTTCTCGAGTAAGTGTATTTGTGAAAAGGACAGTGTTCTGACTTTCAGTCAGTTATATTTAACTTTTCAATGATTTATGAGCTCTTATTTAGCCAATTCACTGTCTTCTCAATTCAGTTTGGTTTTTGCTCTCAAAACTATATAAAAATAGGTGTGTGCATGTGCGCGTGCGTGTGTGTGTTCCTAATTTGGGGGGCAGGCACTTTAGGAGTATTCTGTACGGATGTGATTCTGGCTCAGAAATATCAGGTAGAGATAGGATTTATCTGTGTGTTTTATAATTGTATGTTACTTTATCTCATTTCACTTAAAAAAGGAAAGTAAAACACTTTTTTACTGATAACTTTTAATGTGTAAAATAATTGCCTTCAATATGAAGGTAAATAGTCACGACCATTTTGCTTATTCTTTTTTATATCCCCCAATAATAGAATAAGTTTAGTATAAAGTAAACAGTTGGGAGATATAGGGTAAAATATTTTATCAAAAGTATAGATGCTTACTTTCAGTATTCTGTTCAGGTAAAGATCTGTGTCGTCGGGTTTACTTCATAGAGGGTCCTCAAAAAAAATTTGTGGACATTAAATTATAGGACTGGGAGTGATGCTGAGATCCATTGCGTGGTAGAAGAAAAGGAGGGTACTGAATGACTTAAAGTCACATAGAATGCTACAAGGAAAGGGTACTTTAGTCAGAATTAAGAAGATACTTATTTTACAACTTCTCAGCTAACATATTCAACATCAGCTTTTCAGTTCTAAGAAAGAAAGGGCTTTCTTAATTAATCCTAAAATATCCATGCCCTGAAGCCAATAGATTAAAAATAAGTTAGGCCTAATATTGCTTCTGGTCCCCTCAGATGCACTCAAAATGAAAAACATCCCAATGTAAATTTAGTATTTTTATTTCTTTGTATATTGTTCATATAGGAGATCTCTCTGGCTTCCTTAATAAAAATGACCCTCGAGGCCATCAGACTGGGCAGTGGTGGAAGATTTTCCCAATACGAGTGGCTCATTCTTATAAACCAACTGCTGTTACCACTGCCGTGTTTTCTTGGAATATTCCTAATCACTTTTGCCATCAACACACTGGCTGTAAGGGACACACTGCTTTCCCCTTGACCACATGCTTGGCTCACCAAGAGTGTTCAATTAAGTGCATAATAAAAAGTGGGGGGCTCAGGGCTAACAGAAGGGAACATACAATGCAGAGAGTAACCTTAGTTCTCAACCCCTTTGGCCTAGGGTTCTTGAAGGGCTACCATCTGGCCTGTTCTCCAGGCTGGCCTGGAATGTCCTGTAGTGTAGGTAGTGCCTTCTTCATCTGACCAGACTCCATGGTAGGAGGAGAACATCGTTTTCCTGTCTTCATACCCTCCTCATATCCCCTGGTGACTAGCTCTGCCTCTTCCCAGGATAACTGGCATTGGTATGAAGCAGTGTCCTTTAGAAAGGCAGCCTTATCTTAAGAAGTCAAGGTGGTGATGGCATCGGGATGCACACTAGCATCAGCTCGGGGTACACCTGGTGCGGTGGCTTTCCGCCCTGGCTGCACGTCCGAGTCCCAGCAGGAGCTTGCAGAAAAGGCTGGACCTGGCCCCACTCATACAGTCAGAACCCCTGAGAGCAGGGTGTCGCCATCAGTACTGTGTTAAGCTCCCCAAGGTAATCTCATATCAAACCAGATTGAGAGTCGCTGCTCTAGTGTTTTTAACTCTAGTCCTAAGAGAGACCTGGTGGAAAATAGAGTCCCATGCTAAAAATGTTTTAAAATTCCAAATTCTGTATTGTATACTACATCCCGTTCTTGAGGCTTAAAAAGGGTACAGTAGTCAAGTCTCTAAGAGGTTCTGCAATGAGGAAAAGCAAGTTTACTTGGAATAAACCTTAATTTTAATATACACACACACGTAGCCAATAATATTTCTTGGATGTACTTGCAAAACACCCCTCAGTAGATTTAAAATATCTCTGGTCGAATCCCAGTGGGTCTTTCAGAACTTTTTCATACTTAATAGACTTGATTAAACAGAACAACAAATGGAATAGTTTCTCAATTCAAGCAAGGAAAAGACTGCCAAACCCTTATTTAAAAATTTCTACTATTTCTTGGGTCCGTGCCTCAAACAAGAATTCCTTCATTTTTGTTCTGTAGTTTCATTGTTGATTTTGTTTGGTGGTGTTTGTTTCTTTTTTCTTATCTTTTCTTTTTCAGTTACCCATTAATTTGACCAGATATTTTGTTTGATTACTTTGTGTTTGTAAACAATCATATCTCTTCTCTCAGACTTTTGACTGTAATGTAAAATTTTACTAATCACTGCTATTCACAAAAATTAGTTTGCGTTCGCATACCCCAGTGACGTTCAGCCTTTTCATCTCGGGGCACACGTACACCAGTTAATAAAGTTCAGCACACCAAAAAACACATTGTATCTTTTGCCAATCTGGAAAAAAAAAATCATTCACACCAGATGGCTATTGTGTTAGCTGCTGTCACTTTGTTATTTGACAGTGTAGGGGAAGAGAGGCCAGTGCCCCTGACTACACTGTCAGATGTTGTCTGTTTTGAAAATTCAACCGCAACACACTGGTTGCAAATTGCTGGCGTATCCCATAGTCCTCTCTTTGCCAGTGTGTTCACTTGGAATATTGTCGTGTAACCTTAAATAAAATTTACGTTTCTCTGTATGTTTTTATTTTCTAGTGGACAGTTTCATAATGGATAATATGAGAGTCTACTGCCAATAAGTAATATCTGCAATCAAGTGGACATCCTCAGTTTATTCTCTTTGACTACATGAAGATTTAGACTTTGTAATTTTAGTGCCATTAAATGCAGTGCTTTTTCAGTATTGAAATATTGAAAATGCTTTTGATTTTCAGACTTAGAAAATGGCCAGACCTTTCATTGTACACTTACTGTCCTGCATTCACTTTCTTGGCAAATGGTGGGTAATTTGCCATTTTTAGTAGTTAAATCTAAATAGTGAATCGCATGTATACATAAGATGCTGCATACATCCAAAGTATTAAAATTTGCTATTTCCTGTTTTCTCCTCTATAAAGTGGTCTGGCTACTTATAGCTGTGCTGCTTAACCTTACCCTTCCTTTTGCTCCGTTATATATGAAGACATTTGCTTAAACTTATAGACTTAGTGCCTTTAAACTGATCATCAGGGAAAATCCTGAAAAATTATTTGAAGGGGATATATGAAGGAACACTGTAAATTTTTATAACTCATTAAGTAATGAATATTTGTAGAAAATACTGAATTTCTCATTTATTTTTTACTTATGTAGCTTACAAATTTAACATACTGTTTTACATCACAATAATTTTTTTTTTTGCTTGAATTTAAAATTATATATTAGTGGTACCATCAGAGGGCAGTGATGTACTATTGTACAATATCAGATTCCACTCTTTGGAGGTCTTTACAGTAATTGACTGAGTTAAATTAAGAATCTGAATGGGCTATACCGAGTGGTAATGTATTTGTCCAAATTTTATAGATATTGTTATTCTTTTATATTTATTAAAGAATGGTCATAAGATTTATACAGATATGAAAGTACCAAGGCAAATATGAATGTATGAAAGAAAAACATGTAAGTATTATATTTTAAAAGGACTACATTAAACAAAACTATTATGAAGTAATTCTATATTATGCATGATCATAAACTAGATTTTTGTTTATTAGTAACATGAGTTTTATAGCATTTTTGGTGGGGTTTTTTTGAAAATTTTTTTTGATATATAATAAGCTGAAATGGAATTGGTGTATCTTTTAATTAGCTCTTATGTTTACTAACTTTTTTGGATGGCAAGGCTAAAACCTGAGCCCTAAACTAAAATTTGCAGATACTAAGTGTCAGTAGGGACTACATTAATTACACCAGCTCATTTGATTTACAGAAAGGAAACTGAGCCCCTCATCCCGTCTCACTCATTCTTATCCTAAGACTTGTGTTGTGTTGCAGTATATTGTACACATTCATTTTAATGAGTTTGAACTATAGTATAGGTCTCTTAACTCTTCATTTGAAAAATTACCTTTTCTATTATCGTATGAAATATTTTATGATATTAATGCACAACATATAGTTAGGCTCAGTTTTCTTCATCTCTTAGAGTATTAGTGGTATTTTTTGTTCATGAAGGATAATGAAATTATTGAGTTGTACTTTAGAAATGAAATTTTGGGTTTATGAACATGATGAATTCTTCAAAGCAGAAAGGAAAAGGGGTCGTCTACAGTTGAATGGACAGAGAACCAGATGAGCAAATCCTTGAACTGTGCAAATCTTTCTGTTTTAATATAGGAAGAGCAATTTTATCTGTGCTCCATTCTAAAGAATTACGACTTGGGTTAGTGTAAACAAAAGGTTTACATCTAGGGGATGATGCCCTTTTTCTAATAGCACTATATCCAAATTCCATGCTTGCTTCCTGTTGGACCATGAATGATAGGCTGGTATATTGCTTTCTGGGAGCAGTGGGATGTCCCACTCCAGCCAACTATGACCTGCCTCCATGGGTATGCTCTGCTTCCCCAGAACCACCTGGGTTATGGGGGCTAAGGGGTGATGATACTTAACACTGTTAGGAACAGTGTTAGGAAGAGGAAGGGAAAGGGGGAGACTAAATGCCTGATAGGAAACCAGTAAATTCCTATTACTACTAAAAAAAAAAATTTGTATACACATAAATACATCCAGGCATCTTCCTCATAAAGTTATGAATCACTTCCTGATGTAAATTTTAATTTGGAGCCAATTTACTGTAAGTCCTAGTGTAAATAGGAAAACATAATGCTTAATAATGGTACCCAAACTCCCTACCCAAATTAGTAGAATGGAAATGAAACAGTAAAATGCATTTATGTAACTATTACTGTGTTAGAATGTAAAATGTCTCAATCACTGCTTTTTAATTCTAGTTGCCAAACTATTGATATTAATATGGCTGGTGACAAAAAGTTGTATATTATCATACGGCCTCTTTGTTGACACAGTGCATGTTTTTTCAAGCTTCTGTACGTGAGTGACACTTGTTCTGCTAATTATGTTTGGAACGTAATACTAGTTTTCCCACACATGGTTTTGTTATAAATTCTGTATTGCTATATAGGGATATAAATATACATTTTTCCTATATAAAATTTGGCTTTGGCTGTCTCTGTTTAACAAAATTTTATCTTCAGTACATCTTAAATAATTAAAACTTGGCCCAGCCAATGTGGCTCAGTTGGGTGAGCATTGGCCCATGCACCAAGAGGTCACCAGTTTGATTCCCCGTCAGGGCACATGCCCAGGTTGTGGGCCCGATCTCCAGTGGGGCATGCAGGAAGCGGCCAATCGATGTTCTCTCGTTGATGTTTCTCTCTCTCCCTCTCTCTCTAAAGTCAATGAAGAAAAGAGAATTTTGTTAATAATAATTGAAACTTTGGCAGTGGTTAGGGAAACCTCAGCAACACTTTCATCTCTTTGGGATTGATGAGAACAGAGCTAAAAGATGTTTGGCGTGTTTATACAATCCCTGAATTTATGGGTAGGCTTGTTTCTTTTCCAATACTCTAAAGAAGAAATGATATTATTAGTCTCCTGTTTTTTTAGAGAAATAATACTATAATAGGTTCCAGCTATCATCCTTAGTACCCCAGGAGAATTTGACATAAACCTTGAATTTTCCTTTTCTCCTCCAACAGTTCAACTTATTTTCTGAAGAATTATGCTACACCCTTAGAAGAAAAAGTAACTTGCCAATTTTAGATTTGAATAATAACTTTTGCATAAATATATGAGTAAGAGGTCAGTAGACATGCGTGCCTATCTTGAGATTTAAGGTGTATTCCTTCAACATCTCCAAGTAAGCATCTCAGGTTCCCATGACTACACGCGTGCTTTAGGTTGATTCAGATGCGCTGTCACGTTCATTTTCTTTAATTTTCTCAAAGGCCAACTGACTTAAGGCATTTGTGTACACAGCAGACTTTGAAAAAAATCTGATTTGAAAAGAGTTTTTGTCCCAACATCTCAAACCCTTTAAATTCTTCATATGACATGGCTTTTTATTATCCTGTTTTCCCTCTTTTAGATAGGCAGCATCTTAGAAATATCACGTGTAAATACTGTCATTGCCATTTAAGAACTGAATATTCATAAATGACTTGACCTGGATATGACTTTCATTATATCCTGAATTGCATTGTCTGTTTTTATAGCACCACACTCTATGACTGGTGTAGAGTTTTGAGTTAATGACTTCCAGTCATCTATTCAAGCACTTCAGACTTATCTCAAATGGGACTAATTAGTTCTATACTAGGCTATTGCTCAAATTCTATTTCGTCACATAGGTCAGAAGTCAAGGAGTTACCCCATCCTCCTCAATCTGCCTAACTCCTAAATTACCATTTTCTCATTCTACATTTCTTAGTCAGAGATTAGACCTATTTAACATAGGTTTGAAAAAGAATATCAAGTGTATAATGTAGGAAGTTTCTACGCATCTACACAAAATGAGTTAAGCAAGTTTGCAAACTACTAAATCTATGAAGGTCAATTTTATTTGTGAAAGTTAAGGTAATCTGAAAATTAAGATTATTCCAATCATAATATTAACTAGGATAAAATACTTAGAAAAAAAGTAAAAAATCTGAACTGAAAACTATAAAACATTGTTGACCTTTTTTTTTAAAAGAGAAATGGTGAGACATTGCATGTTCACCGCCTGGGAGACAATATCGACAACATGGCAGTTCTCAAGTTGATCAATAAATTCAGTGCAAAACCCAGCAGAGAAATTCACAAGACCCTACATTTTATATGGAAAATGTAACATAACAGCCAAAAAAATTTTGAAAAAGAACAGTCATTTTCACTAAGGAGTCAGTAAGAGCCATTTACATGTGTTCGATTGCTTCCGAATGTCATTTTCCACATCCCTGGGGTAGGGCCGTCCAGCTGGCAGCCTGACCCTAACGTCCGTTGTCACCATGTTCTCGGTGATACGTCAGTGACCATCATACATGTGGTATAGGCAGAAAGAATAATGCCACTCTCCCCAAAACATGTTCACACCCTGATCCCTGGAACGGGAGTATGTTACACTCCTTGGCGAAAGGTATTTTGAAGATGTGATTCAGTTAATGATCAGAAATTGGAGAGAATATACTGTATTATCTAGGTAGACCCGGTCTAATCACCTGGGTCCTTAAAGGCAGAGAACTTGCCAACCTGTGGTCAAAGAGATGTAAAGAAAGAAGCATCGTTGAGAGATTCTGTTGCTGGCTTTGAAGATGGAGGAAGGGGGCATGAGCCAGGGAAATCAGGCCTCCTGTGGAAGGTGGAAAAGGCAAAGAAATGGATTCTGTCCTCAGAGAGGAACGCAGCCCTGCTGTCTTGCATTACCCTGGTGAGACATCCCTTACTTCTGAACTATGGTACTGCGGCATAATAAATGTGTGGTGTTAACATCAGAAGAGAAGACAAAATACACGAAGAGGTTAATATTTTTGTTAACCTAGGCCTTTATAAAACTAAATTAACAAAGTTAATTGTAATTATAAAAGATACAACTATGTTTACGGGAAATTTTTCAACACGGGAAAGTTTCAGTGGAAATATTGCTGCCAATTACTACTGTACAGAGAAATTCACTGTTAATATTACTTTAGTAACATAAAAATCAAATTACTCAATATTTGTGGTTTTTGTTTGTTTGTTTTAATGGTACGTGCCCCTAGCGGGAACCGAAACTGGGACTCTCTGGTCCGCAGGCCGACACTCCAACCGCTGAGCCAAACCGGCCAGGGCTCTATATCTGTGTTTTAAGATATTAAAATATTCACTGTTCCAAGGTGATTTCATTTCCTACAAAACTTTAATCCCCTCCCCCCAAATGATTATTACCACTTCCAGCACTACCACGTTACACTATGCCTGTTGTTCAAAAACTTCCCAATTAACAGGTTGTGTGTTCTTTGACTAAAACCTACATGCAATAGATATGTCCTCCCCGACTTCTTGGAGCAAAAAGGATGGATGCTGAAAAAGGAGGAAATGACAAATTGACTCTGCCTATACTTTTTATACTCAAGGTAGCACTTAAGGGCCACTTATGATAAAATCTAGATTCCCAACTTGGAATAGCACACACCACCAACCTCAGCGGCCTCAGTGTAGAAGTACTGGGGAACTATAATTTGTCTCTTCCTGTAACTCTCAGGGAAAGATGCCCCTTGAAGATTATCTTTATTTCAGAAAGAAGCATTGATTTTGAGACAGGGACGATTTTTTTCATTTTATCTCTTTAATTTTTGAATCATCAAGGACAATATTTTGCTGTTTATAGGTACAAAACAGCTCTGTCCTAGGTGTACAAGGGTATACATAAGTCTGTAACATTATTAGCTACAGTGAATTGACTTGACTAGACAGCATAGCAAAGTAGGATTAACTAAAGGTATATTTTAATAAGAATGCTTTAAAATAACATGAAGTCAACATTTGACTGTACAATTTACTCTCAAAATATAAATGTATGTCAGCTTATGTGGGTGACTCAACACAGCCATGTTTCTTAGGAATGTGTGGGGCGATTCATAAGCGATTTTCTAAGGGGTGTACTGAAAACTTCCAAAAGTACCCCAGATGTTTGGATGTTTGGTCATAGATAAGGGATAAATGTTAAGGCAATCTTCCAAGTGAATGTAAACTTTTCTGAAGTGGCCTTTCCAAGAGAGTATCGTCATTGTGTATACTCCGCACTTACTCATAGTGCTGTTGGATATTTTTAGTAGCACATTAGCATACTAATTGTCACTTTTTAAAAAATGAGCTTAAAAATCCTGCAATTATAAAATGTCTGGGGTGCTTTTACTCTGTAGACTTAACACAGGCACTTTCTGTTTACTTATCTGTAAATCCTAAAAATTTCCTTCTAGTGACAGTTTTTATCTCTAGTCAGAATTGTATTCCTAATACTGAATTCTAAATACTGTGTTCACCTATTCAGAAGTAATAATTCGCCTACAGTTTGTCTGATCTAAATCTGAGTTTAGAATTTCTTTTCATAGGTCATTTTCTACAAAAGCATTAAAATAAATAGTGCTACTCTTTGAACGTGTTTCAACGTGATGACATTTTTCTGTGTGTTACTCCTTTTTCCAAAGTAAATTTCAGAGCATGTGAACTAAACTGACTACACTGGAGAAGTGGATACAGGCCATTATGAGAGTCCCCTTGGCGTGACCAACTAGTTTCACTTAATCTCCTTCTTAGCCTTATAATTGGCAGAGACCACCAGGTAATTATCTGGATTCATGTCCTTAAGGGTTGGAGATTTGCTCTGGATGGGGGAGGTTTTGCCATCCACACGGGAGATCTGCAGCATCCGGCAGGGGTCGTGTTTCAACAAATACCCTGCAAAAGTTTCCCATCCGCCTCCCACACGAACCATGACGTGTTTGTTGTGCAGCATCTGCAATGAAAGGAGAGCGGGAGTGTTAAATTCTGAGAATTCTTGCAGCATCTCAAGTCAGCATTCCGTTCTAAGTGTCACTGGTTTTTTGTCTGTCTGGTTTTCCATGCCCCGCTGTTTATCTGCTTGGCCACACGGTGTCTGAGTTAGCATACCCTTTATGAAAGCAGCTTTGTTCCGGCCCTGCAAGTGGTGCATGGGGACACACCCCAGCATCCAGCTCTGCTCTGTCTGGGAGCGGTCTGTGTACCATCCCTTGATTGGTTTAACGTGTCTGGAGGCTTCTTTCTGACACCTGATATTCCATTACAGGCTCATCTCTGCCCCCATTTCCTGCCATCGCCTCAGATCAATGCTTCCTTCTCCCTACCACGGTATTCCCCCTTGAATTGGGACCTAAAAGACCATGGAAATGTCTGCTGCTGAGTATAATGCTAATAATGACACAAATATCGGATACCAAATAGAATTGAAAACGCACTAGAAAAATCTGAAGTCTTCCAAGGCAAGATGTTATTGAATGGCCAAGCGTTTTTGTTTTCCTTTACTCTTATTTGTCCTGATTACTTTAGAATACGTCTTTTTAAGAAAACTTACCTTCGGGCCCATGAGCCATTTAGAGCTCCAGGTTAACAAGGCTACAGATTGAAAAACTGAAGAATAGGGTTCTTTCTATCTAGTAAAAACATCAGCGTTGAGGATGTTTGGCATGGAGAGGCAAAGAATGTGATCTTGGCACCTTTCAAATATCAGATGTCCGATTACGGGGGTGGGGGGGGTGTCGCTCCCTGCAGACCCTCTCCCCTGCCCACACTGTTATGAACACATACTGACTAAGTCATCTTCGGGAGGGGGTGTGGCTGTGCGAGGGGATTTGGGAAGTTGTCACTGTAGAGACAATACAGTCTATTTAAATGTCTGCGTCAGCTTGAGATCTGGACGGTTCTGACCCCCATGGAGCAGGGGATACTGTGCATCTACTGCTTTCATTTACTTGTTGAGACTCTGACAAAAGTTTTGAAACCTCCCTGTTTGCCCATATCCACAAAACATTGCATGTGAGTTTAGGGCTTTTACCGCCTCCCTGAAAGCCACCCATGGACTCAAGCTAAGAAATCCCCAGTCATGGTTGACACGAAGCTGTACTCAAAATCAAACAACAAATGTGCTGAATACGCGTAATTAAACTAGTAGGATGGGAATGACATTAAATGTAACTACTGGCTCTTCCCATTTAGAGTGTTAGAATTTTAGAATAGAAACATCTTAGGAAACACGTTTCAGCTAGAAGTCTTTAAACCTATTTTAGCACCAGATTCTGCTCATTGAAGAAAACCTCAACGGGAGCCCCTGAAATGTAAAGCAGATAAAAGGAGTCAGGACATAGCTTTTAAGTATCTTGCCTCCCTTGGTCCTGTCCATGGTACCACTTTTGTTGGAGTCTTTTTTTTTTTCCCCCCCCAGATGAAGACACCCAGGCCCAGAACTTTCATGGGGTTTGCTTAGCACAGGACCCAGGTTTTCTGACTCCCAATCTACTGTTCCTCCTTATAATATGAAATTCGTCGGGGCTTGTATAACGACTGGCCTATTCCCTTCCCCCCAAATCCCCGTGGGCCCAGACTGCCTGCTTCAAAGCTGGAGTTACAGGAAGGCCAGTGTCAAAATTATACCTTGTCCCTCCCTCCCTCCCACTGTTCCAGGAGAGCGCTTTGCCTCTTGTTGGAGTGCTGGTGCCCGGCAGCCCTGCAAACCACAGTTGGGAATTGCCTGCAAACAGCCCTGGTATGAGTGCCCCTGGCAGAACGGTCAGGTTCACTTCAGTGCGAGGCTGTTTCAACCAGAAGGAACCCCCAGTCAGAACAGTTTTTAAACAATACGTGAACTCTGGAAAACAGTACAGGACTTTTTTCCCCCACGTGGAGCAGACAATTGTTTGAGTACAGGCTGTCCTTGCAGACTTTCATGCATCCACAGGCCCATGCAGAGTGGATCCAACGTGGGACAGTCCTGCCGAATGTGCGCAGTAACACGGGAATGACATCCCTGGCCCCTCCTCTTCCACATCCTTCCTGTAGCTAATCAGCAACCTGCAATTTGCTAAGAAAGTCAGTGGAGAAACCGGGCCACAGTTTCAAGCATGGAATTAAGGGCTATTGGGGTTCACAGCCCTGACTAGACATTCCCTGCCTTTTCTTAGTATGTGCTCAGCCTCAAGAAAAAAAAAAATTAACACTCACCTTCATCTCCGTAAACAAAACCCCCACTGTGTTACCTAAAAGCAAATCGACATGCTATAGAACAAATCACTGCCCGCTTTTTCTCCCTCCCTCCCCAGTGCCTGCCTACAAAACCCCGATCTTGGGTCGAGTGTATAAACTGTTCTGCACCGGCACGAAGCTGCTAACTACAGGACTAGTGACGTCAGGCCAACTGCATGCAGCTCATGAACGCGTTTCCTTTTTGTTCAGTTGGCTTCGTTCCCTATTCTCTTATTCTTCTCAAACACACACCCTGTCTCCACTGTCACCAGTCTACTGACTGGCTTCCTCTCTTGGCACCTCCTCTGGCTACTTGACTCAATCTACATTTATCCTTTTCCCAACCTGTCTCACCACAGAAAAAATCTCTCTGTCCAAGGTCCATTCCTCCCGCTACACCCCAATTCCCGGTACCACCCACGCAGAACCTGGCTGCATGGAACAGCCCCGCTCTCTGCGCTGTCCGGTTGATTGTATGGTGGTCGGTCCGTAACCTTCAGCAAATACACACACCGAAGCCTCTCCCGCCCCTGGACAGAGCCAGACTCTCCTGCTTCCGCTCCAGTCGACTCGGTTCTCATGCCTTCTCCTTACATCGGACATGCCTGATAGCTCAGTTTCCGCTTGGTGTCTCCGCTTCCAACTTGCTATTCACTGTCCGACCCACAGTAGGCTTGGCTCCTGCCCCCACCTCTTCACTGATGGCACTGGGAAAGGGAACCGTATGGCCGCTAGAATTATCAACTCCAATGGCTAGTCCTTGATCCTTACCATTTTTTATCGTTCAAGTAAGCTCTCTGATAGTATCGACCATTCCCTCCTTGCAACTCCCTGCTCCTTGAATCTCTCAGACAGGACTCTCCTGCTACCTGCCCATCTGATTGTTCTTCCTCTGCCTCTTCCATAGGTTCCACTTCTTCTGGCTTTAGGTTTTGCTGTTCTAAAGGATCCTGAAGGGTTCTCTCCGTTCTTCCCTGCGTTTCCCATGCTAACCACTCTCTAGGCGCAACCTTATGGTTGTCACGACCCATCTGCTTTTGTTTCCAAGTTATACCTCTAGCCTTTGCCTCTTCCCCGAGATTCCAGATGCGAGGGCACCCGGTCCATTACCTTCCACTGGAAGAGCCCTCAAGCCTTTCAAATAAGGTCAAAGGCATGGGCATCTCTGTAACTAGTCAGACACCAAACATTCATTTCCCTCCTAAACGCATCTCAGGGTACTTGTTACCATGGCTGCTGTTTCCTTCAGAACCTCATCGTTTCCCTGGGCTACTGTAAATACCCGACCTCCCCAGCCTTGCCCTCTCTTGATCCATGTATTAAAGGACTACCAAAAAGAGTTCCTTAGAATGCAAATTTGTCTCCTGCCTAAACACCTTCACTAGCTCCCTCTCTCTCCGCTGAGATTCAGTTCCCTGTATCTGCATACGCTATTCTCCACGACCAGCCCTGAAAACCTCAACTGCCCTTCCCTGAGCTCTGGGACCCATGGATTATTTCCGTTTTCTATTCGCAGAAAACATACTCTTTCTTTTTGCACATTTTCCCATGTGCCCCTAACGGTGGACTTTCTGCTTTGCCCCCCCTATTTACCTGGACCACACACCTTCCCCGATTCAAACGCCTCGACCTGAAAAATCTTCCACCATCACACCGCTCGTTGGGTAAGCGCCCCTCACTGTATTGTTTAGTTTACACATGATTCCATTGTTCACTCCTCCTACTGTACTCTAATCGATGATTTACCCGTATGCCCCCTTTAATGATGCATGGGGCCTCCGACGAGGGTGGTGGTGTATTTCTCAGTTTTGGAATCTCACATGTGGGAGCTCAGTGCAATGTCAACACTGTAAGCATGTAGCGCTCCCTTTGTGTATACCTCCACGGGCTCTACTTACTTTGCCTAATCTATATAAAAAACCTCCCGTTTTATAGACAGAAAAACAGCTGCTCTTAGGAGAACTGATGCTCTTAAACAGCATGTGCAAGTTTACTCAACAAATCAGTGGCAGACCCGGAACAAGGGTCCTTGGGTCCATTATTACCTCACCCACTTACTCTGTAAAACTCCTAGATTTGGGTTTTCATGTCTGCTTAATTACTAGTGATGATTTAGCACAGGCAGGAGATCATCAATGTCAGCAACAGTAATAAGTAGCTTCAGCAGATTAAATGCTCATGTAAAATGATGTATAGTGTTTATGTTCTAATAAACCCTGACAAAATGTGAATTTAATTTCAGAAGATTATCCTCTAAGGGCTCTAATTGTTTCAGAAATAAGCATGTGCCAAGTCATAAGATAGAATATATTTTTGCCAGGTGTCTGTTGGCAGACGCAGGACAGGGCTTCGATTCTCTGTTTAGGGCACATCTTTTAGCTCTTTTATTTTTGATGCTTCATGGTGTTGAACAATTTTGTGTTCTCCCTTCCAGAAGATAACTCCTCTTGACTGGTAGCATCAATGCACATGGCAGTGGGTGTGTAATATTGATTTTCTATTCTGCTTTTTGTTGCATTTCTTCTTCAATAAAGCAAAAATAAGTTAGAGTTGCTACAAATCTTCCCCAGTGTATGCTGCAGTGGTTTTTGCATATTAGGTCTATTCTGACTGTTAACTGTTGTCTGTAGTGAGCCTCTTTCCTCTCTGTGCCCCTGATCCCAACAAAGGGAAAGAGATTCTTACAGACAGCAAAAAACACAAACACAAATTCTGTCCCAGTATTTCTCCCAACAGCCT